TGGTCCCGAAAGCAGTGTCACTGCTATGCCTGATGAAGGGATCCTGCGTGGTCCCGAAAGCAGTGTCACTGCTATGCCTGATGAAGGGATCCTGCGTGGTCCCGAAAGCAGTGTCACTGCTATGCCTGATGAAGGGATCCTGCGTGGTCCCGAAAGCAGTGTCACTGCTATGCCTGATGAAGGGATCCTGCGTGGTCCCGAAAGCAGTGTCACTGCTATGCCTGATGAAGGGATCCTGCGTGGTCCCGAAAGCAGTGTCACTGCTATGCCTGATGAAGGGATCCTGCGTGGTCCCGAAAGCAGTGTCACTGCTATGCCTGATGAAGGGATCCTGCGTGGTCCCGAAAGCAGTGTCACTGCTATGCCTGATGAAGGGATCCTGCGTGGTCCCGAAAGCAGTGTCACTGCTATGCCTGATGAAGGGATCCTGCGTGGTCCCGAAAGCAGTGTCACTGCTATGCCTGATGAAGGGATCCTGCGTGGTCCCGAACACGCTTGTGTATTTGACATAAGTTTTGAATAAATTCACGATTGACTATCCTTGAAGGAGTCTGGTGTGCTGGTGACATCTCTTTATTATCAGCATAGGGGGTTGTGCCACATCATCAGGATCCCACTCTCTTAGATGATATCAGGCATATATTTGAAAGTCGGATTGTAAGGTACATGACAAGCTTCAGTAAGTTGATCTCAGCAAAGGGGTGTTTCTTTGGGTGGCACAGCGACTTGGAAAATGGGACTCCAGACTTGCCTAGCCCTATGGAAATATCTTTTTTTAAAGTTTCTATTTCCAAAGAATCTTCATGTGGCAACTAAATGGTGATCCTTGAAGAGTTTTGTGGTTTTGGGTGTCTGTAAGCTCCAGTTAGACAGTCTTTGGCAGGGCCAGATTCTCGGTACATATGTGAAGATAAATTTGTTAAAAATAAACATTTCTTTTCCAGGTTACGAGCAGTTCATTAATATAAGCATTGATCCGAAGAAGCTTGTAATGGGTGTCCCGTGGTATGGTTATGATTATGTCTGTCTCAATTTAACAGAGGTGTGGTTTTTTCGGTTTTTTTTCTTATTATGTCTGCATTATATGTACTTTTATGTCTGTGTGCAATTGCAATCAGCTTTGGTTTTTTATATATTCATAGGGACAGTCATAGTAACTCGATTTTTTATTTTGCTTTGCCTTCTATTTAGACTCTTTATCTCAACACATTTTCTATATATATTGTAACAAGGACACTCCACTGTAGACCGGAGGTGCAAGTCAGATGCAGTTTATTTGCTTTCAAAACGGTAGATAACATGAAATCCAACATAAATAGCTCGCTGTAGCATATAACAGATAAGGGCTCACCGACATCT